CCCCCCCGTTTTCACGTGGTTCGTGGTTTTAGCATATGTGTTATATTTGACGTATTTACGACTATGTAGAGCATTGCAACAAAAAGTGCATGTTTGCTGGTGATGAAAACTTAATTCGGCGTTGACTTGGCAATAGAGCACCGGCAGACTTCAGTGTTTTATCATGCTAAAAGCGGATCTTTGTTTATTGGTTGAGTCTTCAGCTTGTATTGTTCTTTCTCAGACAGTCTTAAAACAAGACTTCTTGACAGTGTTTTGAGTATATCAATCTCTAGCTCTAAAACGAGTAAAGATACGGCAATTCCACGAATTGATTCTGATTTAGAATGTGCTGTTTCGGATATTACTTCCTCTGTCGTGTTTTCGATTTGAGGCCTTCTTGTACATCTTTATGTTTAGCGTAGTCATTTTTGGCCTATTTTTGTCGAAAAAGCATCTCCAGCGCCCAAACGGTGAGAGATAAAGCCAAACGGTCAAAATTTAAGGTCAAAAGGTTCTACTTTCAGGAATTACCCCTTAGGAGATCATAAAAGAAATATCTTTTAACTTTTTTGGCCTCCCCCTTTTTCTTTCATACCCCTTTTCAGCCCCTTAGGAGGGGTGGTTGCCAGGATTTGCCCTAGGCGTTCCGTTTCTTAAGGAGTGAACCTTAAGATAGCCTGAAAAATTGAAGTCTCTAGCACATCTCCTTCTAGTGGAACAGACACACAGACAGACACACACAGACACGAGGTCATTTCCAAGCCCGCTGGATAGCTTTTTCAAAGCAGAAGGGTGGGCTAAAAAGGGGCCATTGCCACTTGCTTCTTACTGATAGTTCTCAGAACTAAGTATCTCAACTAGACGTCTCGCGCACAAGCCCTACCACGCCGAAGCGGCCCGCGCCTAGTAAGGGCCAGCTGCGCCTAAGGCTTCCCTCTCCCAGGGCCTAACGCTCAACGCTCAGCCAGCGCCCAACGCCCCTCCCGGCCACGTTAAATTCCTTGCTTTCTGAAGTTTTGGCTGACAGACTACGAGGCGCAAAATATGCGCATAACGTCCCATAACAAGCGAAGTGTAGTGCCGCGCGCCCCGCGAAACTGTGGACTGCGACGCATAAGGCGAAGTGCACAGCGCCGCCTACCCTTGGAAACTGTGCCCCAGTCCCGGGACTCGCCGCGCGAAGCGCCGCTTGTGCCCCCCAGCGAGCGAAGCGAGTCATGTAATAACTTCAAATTTGTATTAATTTTAAGACCGCGCGAGAAGCGTTTGCCAGGCAGATCGAGTCGGTCTCTGCACGCTCCGTCTGCCAAACAAATCAATGTTTATGTTCCTGCCCCTACTACCGGCCCCAGCGGCCAGCTTCTTCATGTTCTTTATTAGAGTGAAGTGTTTCAGCGTAACAGTGTTTCGTGAGATATCGCGAAGCCTCTTACGCGAAGAGTGGTCTGGCGTTTATCTACCTAGTACATTGTAGTCAATGTCTGCCTCATGACTAGAGCTGATCTCGAAATAAGCTGCTACTGAAACTCATTCTGAGCGACAGTCAGTTCGAATCAGTTCAAGTCATCAGTCAATGTTTCGCGTTCACCCGGCAACCAATCGGGTGAGCCTCCTCGTCTCACCTGAGTCTCACCGGGGACGCAAAGGATCCGGGCAGTGTCCCTCGCGTGTCGTAGAGCTGCAAGGATAGTGTCCTTCCTTTTCCTCAAGATGATGACGGATGACATACTGGAGCAGCACCCAAAGGTATTTCGGACGGACAGGCGTCTGGTAAGAGGTTGCTCGTTGGGACTGAGAGTGTCTACTACCGATACCAACAGCAGACTGAAGATCAGTAGTCCAGCAATCTGTGTGACACACGAAAAAAAATAATAAAAAAATGCCTCAAACATCAGCTGACCCAGCAAATATATTGACTGGTATGTGGACAAAATTTCTTGGAAATAGGGAATTCCGCTTCAAGCGAACCGGAACCTACATAAGAAAAGTATCACTGCTCGATCTGCTTCCCTCTGTGCGCTCATTGGCTGACCGACGTGACAAGGTTATCGTTGACCTACCAGCGTTCAGGAGGAAACAGATCGGGCAGTTGGGTCGGA